AATGATCTATAGAGGTTCAGAATCACTGGGAAATAAAGGAAATGATCATATGACTTCAAATCATGGAAAACTATGATCTCAGGATATCCAAGGGCAATGGAAAAACACATGATGAACATAAATAAGCCACAATACACTATCAGCAATTAAATTTGCACATGAAAAAAGTCTAAAAGACTTTACTGAGCACACATATGATTTTTAAAAAATGGAGATGAGCTAATCATGGAGTGAGAATGGCCTGCAATATATAAGCAATCTGATACTGGTATCCCTGAGATAGTAAAAGAATGAGAGAAAAGTCTTAGGTAGATCTTGGGGGGGGCATTATGAGAAAACATGGACAAGATTCATATGGGTGAGCAGGCTTAGAATGGATGCCATCTATATCAGAAATAATGAATATATATATATATGATAACTATCAAAAGGTAGTCTGAACCAACAGTTTTCTTACTAACTCAGTCCCCATTATCTTAACCATCACTTTTCCTCTTATTGTGGAGAGAGGACCTAGTGGACATATTCCACTGTAAACACCGAATAAAACTAAAGTAAGTGACATTTTAAGAAGTTTCTGCTTCTTCCCAGAGGAACTCAAGGCACTTGTATTCAGATGTTAGCAATGGAATTAGAAAAGCAAGCAAATGGCTTTGGGGGAAAGTTCTGCAATATGAAAATCATACCCAATCCTAATATAAGGGAGGGAGATTTCCCATCTGCTTCCTGCTTTAGTAGAAATCTATTTTCTTTCTACTTCCTGATTGTATTTTTATAGAATACATGCTATGAAGTCAATAACATTTTAAGGAAAAGCCTTCTGCTCTGCTAATGAAAAATACTCTTCTCGGTCTCTTTAATGAAACAGATTTAATTTTTTTAGTGCCTTATAGGAATTTGGAGAAAAGTTTCTTGTAGCCTTTTATTATGTATTGATTCAAGGATTATTTGCAACCACAAGAACCAAGTATTAGTCACTATGAATGTATCACACACACACACACACACACACACACACACACTGGTCTGAGCCAGGATAAGCAAAGAAAGAGAAATAAACAACACAAACCTTCCTCCACTGCCATATACCAAAGCATATGCGCACATAAACTTGTTTGCTGTGAAAAATAAATTGCACAATACTGAAACAAGAAAAATGAGCCAAGTAAATCATCTTACATAATTTTCTGAAGGCTTCCAAATGCAGTGCCCCACCCCTCCCCCAACTACGAGAGGAATAAGTCAGAACTAACTAAAATGCAGGGTCCCTAATTACTTTCCAACCATTTGTCCCATGCAAATTTCCCCTCCCCCACTTTTTAAATTCAATTTGATGAGAAGAAAACAATAAAAAAAATGGATGTCTTCTAATACTTTCAGTTCAGTTTTAAAAAGAAAAGCTACGTCCTACTATTTCCCTTAAATAATATTAAACTTGGTATAAAGTGACCCTTCATCCAAAGATTAGTCAAATTCTATTACAGTTTTCAAATTTCATGAGCGAAATTGAATGGGAAATCCTTGAAGTATTTATAACACCACACATTTTTTTTTAAAGGCAGAGCATCTTGCCAATTCTGCCTATTGATATTACAGGTGTACCTGACTTTGCAGAATGGGCATGATCTCAAGGAGAAAAAAATTATATAAATCAGATGTGGTTTTTTTTTTAATGCACAGGAGAAGCTAATTATTTGAGTGGATCCTTGGCTAAGACTTCTGCGAAACAGAAAAACCTGTTGTAAAGTAAACATTTACCCACGGAGACAGTATGGTAGAGTGGAAAGGGTAGCAACTTGTAGTCATGGGACTTCAATTCAAATCCTAGCTCTGGCATTTACTGATTCTGTGAATTTGGGTAAGTAATGGCAAACATTTATATAGCACTTACTATGTTCCAGGCACTGTGCTAAGCTAATAATTGTTATTATCTCATTTGATCCTCACAACAATCCTGAGAGGTGGGTGCTATGATTATCCCCATCTCACAGATGAAGAAACTGAGGCAAACAGAGATTAAGTGACTTGTCCAGGGTCACACAGCTAATAAGTGTCTGAGGCCAGATTTGAACTCTGGTCTTCTTGACTCCAGGCTTGGTACTCTATCCACTGTGCCACCTAACTGCAAGACATTTAATCCTTCTGGACCTTAGTTTTCTTATTTGTAAAATGAAGGGATGGACTAGGTATATGTCTTTAATGGCCCTTTCTATTTTGATCTATCCATTCTCTATGATCTATCTGTTCTCTGGCCTTTGCCACCACGCATAAGCTACAGTCTCCCTCTTCCTCAGTAGCCCCCTTCTCCCACCGGTGAGTTTTTCCTGTAATCTCCATTTTGGAGAAGGGACCAGACAGTGTTATCCGATTCTCCGGGCTTTGCTGCCATGTCCCTACCCCACCTTCCTCCCACTTTCCAGCTCCCTTTTTTATGTTTTGCCTTTCCGTATTAGAATTAGTCTCCTTGGGGGTAAAAATTATCAGTAAATACTTGTTGACTGACTCTATGATTTATTTTTTATAATTTTAGATTTTTACACATGGGACTTACCTGAAATTAGATTTACTTATGCTTTGACATGTTCTTTCATGTGTGGACAGATATTATTTGAATAGAATCGAAAGACCCACTTGCTTCAAAATAATCTTCCTCTCTTATCTATCGTGTTTTCCAAAATTTCTCTCATTAAAAATTAGTCATTCTTTTGGGTTAAGTAATTACCTTTAGAAATTCCATATTAAATGATAAAGGAAAGTAATATAATTAGGGCCATGGCCGAATTAAGGTGTCATAATAGAACGTCAAATTTTAGAAGGAGCTAAAACACTGTCCCACGACATGCTGACTCTCTCCAGCATTTATACTCCCAGCTCCTAACCATCCTACCTGCTTTTTCCCTACAGCCCCAAGTCTTTCAACAAAGTAGAAACCTCATAATGGTCCAGGAAGTGCTTCTTCCTCCTGAGGCCTCCCCTAGATGAGCGTTGCCCCATACCCTTTAACACCAATCCTTCTGCCCCTTCTCTTCAAGGGCATACATTTCTAGTTACTGCTCTAAGAACAACAGCCAATCTATTACCACAATTTGTTGTTTGCACAGTTGTTCAGTCATGTCTGACTCTATGTGAGCCCACAGACTTTGTTCATGGAATTTTCTTAGCAAAGATACTGGAGTGGTTTGCCATTTCCTTCTCCAGTGTGTCCCATTTTACAGAAGAGGAATTGAGGCAAATAAAGTTAAGTGACTTGCCCAGGGTCACACAGCATGTAAGTATCTGAGTCTGGATTTGAACAGGGATCTTCCTGACACCAGGTCCAGTGCTCTATCCACTGCACCACCTAGCTACCCCACAGTAGCATAGATTAATTCACTATCTAATTTACCATCTAACAGATATTAGGGTCCTGATGTAGTGAGCCTCCTCACAAGTAAATTTGATTACTAAAGGAAAAAAATGGTTGCAAAGAAGAGGTACATGGGAAAAACCCAGAATATAGAGACAAGGTAATGTAGTATGCTGCTGCTAGGGAGCTCAGGCTAATGTCTCTTCAGTTATGAAAAAACTGAAAAGAAACTGGATGGAAAGAGGTGAGTAAAATAGATAGCAAAGGTACTGTAGACACATTTTTCCTATGCTAACCTTTTGTCTGGGATCCATTCTGTACCTGTGTTACAAAGTGCGCTTTGCATAAAGTAGGTGCCTAACTCATGTTTGCTGAAATGGGAACATTCAGTCACTGGAACATCTCAGCATATTTCTCCAGGTGTTGCCATTACTTATTTTGGGGGTTGCCTTTCATGGGCCTAAAACCATCTTCTATACACAGTGAAATATAAGACGCTCTGCAATTCATGTTTTTTTGATGTCATGCCCTCAAAATGCCAAATGTTCTTCCTCTCTCAAACATCCCTCCCTTGTTCCTAAACAATACCCATTGAATGAGTTATTAGACTGTTCACATTTGTTTTAAGACAATTCCCCCTACAAAAGGCTAGTCATTTAACATTCTTATAGAGACCGTAGCAGGAATCAAGCTTAGACTTCACCCAGCACATGGTGTCACCTTTGGTTCTAATTAGAGACTGTTCATAGAACAGTAAGGAATTCAGAACCATGAACATTAAGGTGGGAGAGAACAGAAGGAATACAGATAATTAGCTACGATGATGAAATGTACAATTTTCATTAAATCCTAGAAGGATTTAACTAAACTGTCAGAGTCAGCTATGCTGGTTAGTTTAGCAGAAATGCTTTTTTTGTGTGTGTTACAAAAGATGGCTATTTGGAGAGGGACAGACAGGGAATATATTTGTAAATAAAAATAAAAAGACAGAACTTTTTAAATCTAAAAAGGATATTATTTTAACATATAGAAAGAGTACAAAGAAAAAATACTAGCACTCAAGAAAAAGAGAAAAGTATTAAATGAGCAATGAGGAAATAATCAGCTGAGTTCTCTTGTGGCTGCAGGGCACCACACCCTGTGAAGGGAAGAAAACCTGCCCATCTCCCCCTTCCGAGGTTCTTTGTTCAAACTAGACTTGTGTCTTAATCAAGTAAAGTATCCCTCCTCCACAGCTGGCACATTACACATGTTTTGGTTAAGCTATTTCTCTGAAAAATGCCCACAGGGATGTCAGTGATTGTGTCCTGCTACCAGAAGAATACCTAGCAATATACTTGGTCAACCCCCCACACAGAGCCTAGAGACTTGGGAATCTGGGGTGTGGATCTGCTCCTGTGGAGTATAGCAGATCTCTTTTTCCATTTCATCATCCTCCACATAAGGAAGGAGATGGAAGTACTGTGCTCCAAAAGGTGTGACAATTAACCCGCTTCCTATTCTATTGGAAGACCCTTTCACCCCATTGGCCTTTTACTATGGCAGCATCTGCAGCCACTTTGTCCCGGTAAGAAATGAGGCCTTTGAATTCCTACAAAAGAATGAGCCAAATTTGAAATAATCAATTCCTGCCAGTCTTGACACTTTTACTTACTTTTGCCTCTTCGTTGACATCCCAGGTGAAAGAAACAGCATTGTACGCAATTTCTTCAATGTTTCCAATTGTATTAAAACTTTCCTTGTAGTCAGCTGTAAGACACACACACACACACAAAGATTAAACAAAATTTGAAGAGATGCTTTTTGTATCATTGAATTCTGTGTCACTCATCCACTGACTGGAACAAAATTTTGCCTATTCTTCTGTCTCCATGGCAACAGGAAAAGGATTTTTGTTCTTGCTGATATTTCATTATTGCTAATATTCTACAAAAATGGTAAAGACATTGCACTATTAAGGGTAATAAATGCAAGCAAAGCAATATTCTTAGCCAATTTTTATTAGTTTTACTTCTTCACCCTAGGTTTTTATTATGATCTGTGAAGGTTTTCTATTCTTCTTCGACTTTGGATATCCCTCCTTAGCTACCCACTCATGCTGCAACTCCCACTGTCTTGCAAGCCCCATGTGGATTTCTTGGATGAACCAGCTCTGTAGAACCACAGACTCTTAGAGCCAGAAGGGATCTTAGAAATCATCCATCCCAATTCTTTATTTTCACAGATGAGAAAACAGAGGTTCCAAGTGGTTTAGTGATTTGCTTAAGTCTAAGGTCACCCAGCTCAGATAACGGAAGAGCCAAGACTTCAGTCTTGCTCTCCTGCTTCCCAATCCAATACTATTTCCAGCAACAACCTGCCTCTCCTAACCCAAGTTTGTGTTCATGTGTACCATTAGTCCGGCTGTATCATATGAGATTGTAGGCATATAAGGATTCCCTGACCAAAATAATTTTGCAATAATATCTTTACATTATGTTACAAATAATTATATACTCATATGCAATAATATATTATACAATATCTTTATATTATATATAGTAACTATGTTCTACTACAATGTTATTCAAGCAATCGTCAACTTGGTTCCTATGGAACTATGACCCCTGTAACATAATTTTCCTAACATTGCATTGTCATGGAATCAATGAAAACATTGAGTGGGATACACTTGAGGATTCAAGAAGTTAGAAGAAAATGACATATAGGTTCAGGAAGATGTAGTTTCAAGTCGAAGCTCAGCTATGTGACCTGTACAAGTTCCTAAACCTGCCATCTGTCAAATGGAGATAATAATAACTACTTCTGTCTTTCTCCCATTTGATCCTGCTGTAAAAATCAAATGAAATAATGTATTAAAAAACCTTTTGTAAACTGAAATGTCATCTAGCTGGCAGTTCTTATAATTATTGATATTACTAGAAACTGTAGAGAAAGAAAATATTTAAGGTTAGATGAGATACAGAGCAAAGGAAGACAACCTCTTGCTGTCCTATGACATGGAGAACTAGAACACAAAAACCTCTCAATCAAATCATAAAGCAAATCTTTGCTTCTGATATCAGAGCTCATTTTGACCTTAAGTGGCTGGACTCAGCGTCCAGACAAGTTTTCCCTGGGACTAGAACTTTAAGGTTCTCCAGAGAGCAATACTTAATTCCAGGAAAATAGTTGCTGAGTCTTAGCACTGTTTGGCTTTGCAGAGATCAAACTCATTCCTGTTTTTAGTTTATTTACAACCTTTTAATACTACTATAGCAAAAGACTAAAAAAAAATTGTTAAGGCCCCTATACGAAGTAGTGCCCCAGGGCCATTTTAAGCAAGGAAACAAGTGGCAAATTTTTAAATGAGGATTAAAAACCAGTATGAATGAGTCCAACACTCATGAGGGAAATCATGATGCTTCCTATGCTGTTTTTTTTCTTCTTCTGAGTTGCTCCCCAATGATCTACCCTTTTGGTTTGAAAATAGCTATTGCTCTAAATCTAGAACAGACAAAGGAGAGAAGTTAAACATAAAGACGGTATCACAGAAAGGATAGCTACTCCAAGGATCTCCCATTCTGCATGTTCCTGACAGGCTGCCCCGAAATTAGAATTTAGATGCTAATGTGGAAAAGAAAATGCAACTTAATAACACCTTGCATTCAGCTATAACTTTATACTTTCCAAAGAATCTTCACATACATTATTTTCATTGATCCTTAAAACAAGCCTCGGATAGGTAAAGTAGATGTTAAAATCTCATTTTACAGATGAAGAAATTGAGGCAACACATTATATAGATTCTTTCTTGGAAACATCTCTTGTATCTCTCCTTTTCCTTCATTCCTCCCCTGCCACCACCTTCATCCAGTTTCTTATTGCTTCAGACCTGGATTATTTGTTGCATCAAATTCCTACTTGGCTTCCCTGACTATAGTCTCTCTCCTTCCAATACACCCTGAATAGTTCTGCCAGATTAATCACCTTTAAACACTACTGCCATCATAGAACTCCTGTGCTCAAAAAATTGGCATGGGTTCCTTGTTGCCCACCTTATCAAATCCAAATTTGACTTTCAAGCCCCTCTATAATATTATAACACCCTATATAGCCAATGTTATGTCCCATCATGCCCAAACATAGCTTCTCCTCCCCAGGAACAAAGTTGCTTTATAATCCCATAATTAGATCATCTGTATTCCTGTATTTGTTCACATTGATCACCTAACCTGCCCCTACCCCAAACACACATCTCCCAGCCTGCCCCAGCCCATGCCAATCTTCAAAGTTCACCTAATCCCATCACCTTCTTGAAGCCTTTCTTAGTTCTCCCGACCCAAATTAACCTCCTCTTTCTCTTAATTTGTACAACTTGTATAATCCATTCTCCGAAATTTTATATTTAATTATGTATCCTATCTTGTAGCAATCACTAATCATTTTGTATGCAATTATCCTTGTCTCTCTGGCTAGACTGCAAATTCTTTGGAGGCAAAATCTCATTAAGTAGTTATACTTCCACATCATCCATAATGACCAGCAGCAAATACTTGTCAAGTCAAAGCAACCAACATTTCCTTTGTGTCTACCATGTGCCAGGCACTGGGCTAACCCCCAGAGATACATAGAAAGGCAAACATATTACTTACCCTCAAGGAACTCATGTTCAAATGGGAGATACAACATGCAAACAACTATGCCCATGCTCATTATTTTGGTGATGGTTCTGGCTGCCATGGGAAATTCAGCCAAATCATTCAGAGAATTATATAAAATGACTGGCAGCTGTCTTTCTAGGGTGAAAACAGATGGCTCAGAGCCCATCAACCATAAAGTATTGGGTGGATTATTTGTTCCTAAATTCATTACTTTACAGAAAAGCAGTACTGTGTAGTAACCTTAGAGCCAGAGTAATTTGGGGGTAATCTCAGAGGGAAGAGGGAGACAAGGAATATTTACTGCTGAAGATGGTAGCCATCTTTAGGGCAGGGGGCAGGGGAAGAACAAGAGGGAGAAAGAAAAATAGGGAAAAAAAAGAAATTTCCATGATAACTTTATTATACATTTAAAAGGAATAGCAAGTTGTATATAGTAGATTTGCTGTTTCATGTGCAATCATCTTTTTTTATTATATTGTTATGAAAATGCTCATTTTATTTCATAAATTAAAAATAAAATTGAAAAAAAAAGGTGAGATTCTAGCTGAGACTTACAGGAAGCCAGAGAAGTCAGGAGGATGCAGGGGGGCGGGGGGAATCATTCCTGGTTTGGGAGACAGCCAATGAAAATGAAGGGAGTAGAAAGACAGTTTCTTATGCAAGAAAGAGTAGTGAGGCCAGCCGGTCATACAACCACTGGATCAGAAAGTACATAGAGGAAAGTAAGGGGTTAAGAAGACTAGAAATCTGAGAAGGTATCAAGTTATGAAGGGCTTTAAAAGCCATACAGAGGATTTTATATTTGATCATGGAGGTAACAGAGAATTACTGGGGTTTACTGAACAGGAGTGGGTGATGGAAGCATGTGTGGAAATAACATGGTCAGTCCTTCAGGACTGATCTCTTACGTTGGTATTAAGTGGAGGATAGACTGGACTGGGGGGAGACAAGGCAGGGTGAGCAATTAGAAAACTATTGCAGCAGTCCAAATGAGAGGTGATGATGGCCTGTACTTGTCTGATTTCACTTACTTTCCTGGGTTAAACAACTACTTAATGAGAGATACAAGTTGGACTCAGCTCTCCTAATTCCTGGTTGAGCACTCATCCCACTACGTCACATTAGATCTCAATATTTATTGGCTGTGAGATAGGATGGTATAGCAGAAAGATAAAAAGGTGTAGTGGATTGAGTACTGGACTCAGAGACAAGAAAGACTTAGGCTCAATTCCTGCCTCAGAAATTTACTGTGTAATCCTGATACAATCTCTTAAACTCTCTGTGCTTCAGTTACCTCGTGTAAAATGTGTTGGTTAGATTCAATGGCTTCTAAGGACCCTTCCTACTTGAAGTCTATAATTCTAAGATTATGATGGACTCTAATGGAAAAACTGAGGGATTAATTTCCTCTTACCTGATGGCAAGATTTCAAAATCTCCCAACCATCTTTTCTGATTAAATTTGCAATCAACTCATCTTCAGTTCCCTGGTATCTAAATAAGACCCATGGTCCATCTAATGTGGTTTTCTATCTAGCACCAGGGGATGTTATGGAAATACATAAGATATATATCTGTTCAAAGTTTAAAGGTCAGAGACATTTACCAAAATATCCTACTTTTCTTTGGAAATCTAGTGAGGCTTGGTCATCGGCAAATGTATCTAAACTTTAAAAAAAAACTCCTCTTGGCCTAATGAGTTCACTAAATTTATTATTCATTCTGTGAGATAGGACTTTCTTCTATTTGTTCCAGATTTCCCTCTCTCAAGCTTCCACAAATGCCCTTTGCTCCAGTATCCTGGGTCTGATGCATAGAGCTGTGTTTGTTGTAGTCCTACCACTCACGGTTTAATAGCCCTCAATCCCATCCCTTTTTATCCTTCCAAGACTGAAGAGTCCTGCTATTTTTGTATCCTCCAATATGGAAGACCTCTCTTTTTCTTGACACTTTTTCCCCCCTTCCTCTTTTCTGAAATTTTCTATAGTCCCATTAGCTTTCTTACAATTCAACAACTGAAAGTCATGTTTTAGTTGTGGTTACATCAGGTTTTGTTTCCAAAATCATTTTGAGGATGCCCATTATTTTAATAACTGTTTTGATTGTC